GAACTTTGAACCCTCTTTACCTGTCCTCTCATATCACTTTCTTCATATTTGAGGAACCACAATCTCTAACTGAAGCAAAAGTGCTTCTATCTTTTCTTTAATGTATGTTTAAGGACCTGCAGCAACTTATTGGAGCCTCCCAGAAACATTCGCTATGACTCCCAGATATTTTCCACAAAGGTTATGCTGGCTGGGGAGTTCTGGGGCTCAAAATCTGGAGGACACCCAGGTTGAAAAAGGCTGAAACTCTGCATGTTGCATTTCTAAGATCTATGATTATCAATATGCAAAAAACACTCCCCAAAAGCCTTTTTGAAGTAACTGCATCATTTCTGCAAAAGTAAGTATCCAGTTAGCCTCTGCTGACAACCAGATGCGTATACTTATCCATCAAATTAACATTTTCTATTTTTTCTCTCCTCCCTCATGTCTGATACTGAGATACGTTTTACTAAAAAGAATCAGGCCAGAAATTAAATAGTTAATTTCTCAGCTTCACATCCAATGGGAGATCAGTAATGAAATTCAAGAGTTTTCTACACACATCATCTTCTGCTTCATGTGGATTTTCTTATGTGCGGTAAGGGAGGAATATTGCGTGAAGCAGCGTCCGCAGTCTGGGCATTTGAATGGTTTCTCTCCTGTGTGTAAACCTACATGATTTATAAGGCTAGACCTATTAGTGAAACCTTTTCCACAATCTGGACACTCATACGGTTTCTCTCCGGTGTGAGTCCTTTGGTGTATCACCAGGCAGGACTTCCAACTGAAACTTTTCCCACAATCTAGACATTCATACGGTTTCTCTCCAGTGTGAGTCCTCTGGTGTAACACCAGGTAGGAATTCTGACTGAAACTTTTCCCACAAACTGGACACTCATACGGTTTCTCTCCAGTGTGAGTCCTCTGGTGTAACACCAGGTAGGAATTCTGACTGAAACTTTTCCCACAAACCGGACACTCATACGGTCTCTCTCCTATGTGAGTCCTGTGATGTCTCACCAGGTTAGAATTCTGCCTGAAACGTTTCCCACAAACCAGACACTCATATGGTTTCTCTCCAGTGTGAGTCCTTTGGTGTTTCACCAGGTAGGAATTCTGACTGAAACTTTTCCCACAAACTGGACACTCATACGGTTTCTCTCCAGTGTGAGTCCTCTGGTGTATCACCAGGTAGGAATTCTGACTGAAACTTTTCCCACAAACTGGACACTCATACGGTTTCTCTCCGGTGTGAGTCCTTTGGTGTTTCACCAGGCAGAACTTCCAACTGAAACTTTTCCCACAATCTAGACATTCATACGGTTTCTCTCCAGTGTGAGTCCTCTGGTGTAACACCAGGTAGGAATTCTGACTGAAACTTTTCCCACAATACAGACACTCATATGGCTTCTCCCCGGTATGCGTCCTCTGGTGTATCACCAGGTCGGAATTCCGACTGAAACTTTTTCCACAATCCACACACTCATACGGTTTCTCCCCTGTGTGTATCCTCTGGTGTATCACCAGGTTGGAATTCCGAATGAAACTTTTCCCACAATCCAGACACTCATATGGTTTCTCTCCTGTGTGAGTCCTCTGGTGTACCACGAGGTCGGAATTCCGAATGAAACTTTTCCCACAGCCCAGACACTTGAATGGTTTTACAACTGTGTGAGTCCTCTGGTGTATCACCAGGACAGAATTCCGAATGAAACTTTTCCCACAATCCTGGCACTCATATGGTTTCTCTCCTGTGTGAGTCCTCTGGTGTATGATCAGGTCAGAATTCCGAATAAAAGTTTTCCCACAATCTGGACATTCATATGGTTTCTCTACTGTGTGAATCCTCTGGTGTATCACTAGGTGGGAATTCTGCCTGAAACTTTTCCCACAATCCTGACACTCGTACGGTTTCTCTCCTGTGTGAGTCCTCTGATGTATCAGCAGATCGGAATTCCGACTAAAACTTTTCCCACAATCTGGACACTCATATGGTTTCTCTTGTATGTGAGTCCTTTGGTGTATCACCAGGTTGGAGTTGTGAGTGAAACTTTTCCCACAATCTGGACACTCATACGGTTTCTCCCCAGTGTGAGTCCTCTTGTGTATCACGAGGGTGGCATGCCTCCTAAAGCTTTTGCCACATTGAGAGCACTGGTAGGGCTTCTCTCCAGTGTGGGTCTTTTTATGCATAAAAAGTTGGGAGCTATAGCGGAAGACCTTCCCACACTCTGAGCATTTGTACGGCTTTTCTCCGGTGTGGATTCTATCATGAATACTCAGCTGTGATCTGCAATCTGTGCTTTTCCCACAATATACACATCTGTCAAGCTTTTCCACTGCTGATAATCTTGGATTCTCAAGGAGGTCAAAAATATTTCTGATCCCTTGTTGGATGGTGGTTTGATTCAAGTTAATGTTTCCTTCCTCACAGGTTGAGGTTTGCATTACTCTCTGCCGTACGTGGCTATGCACCTGACTGCTTCTTCACTGACTTCCAGATATTTCCTTCTTTTTTCTGAATTTGGAAATTATCCCCCTTGACGTTTTCATGTAATGTTTCCGTGACTTCCATATACTCAATTTTTTCCAGCTTAAAACTCTCTTCCTGTTTTTCTCTCCCTTGTCTGTCACCTGCTGTAGAAAGAGAAGAGTTTTGTGTTTTTCTGGAGGAAGTGGAAAATATTTACATTGCTGACTTGATTTATGTTCCTTTTTAATGCAGCTTGTGATTCTCAGTTGTCCAGAATGTTCTCCTTGGCATCCTCTTTGCCTATAAGATAAAAATCTTAGTTTAATTTTTGTCTACAAAATGGCTGCACAACATGTGAAAACAGTAAGAAAAAACAGCATATGTTACAATGAAAAAGCAAACATACCAAAATCCTAGATTAACCTCTAACATTCATTATGATTCATTTGACACACAGAAGATTAGTGAGATCCAAGTTCACATATACACTCAATTATCAACTTCACTTATTCACTTGGGTCAATCACAAATTCTTAGCACTGCAAACAGTTATCCTCAAATATATCATGAAATGCTGGGGATAGATTCTAAACATACACATATATTCACACAGAGAGAGATACAGATATACACACCTACAAATGTATGTGTGTAGAAAATCCATCTGTATTTAACCCTCCAAAATGTCTCAGAAGTAGATATGGTCAAATCTTTTGAGTCTAATTTTAGAGGGTTGGGGCCTATAACAGATTTAATGGTGCCCAAAGCCTCTACAAGATTTAAAGCACTGGTTTTTCCCATTAAATTCCTCAGCTCCAAATAAGAAAATGGCAGAAAATGCTGTCCACAACCACTCTGGTGACATCACAATGCAGGTAGTCCTCACTTACTGACCACAATTCTGACCGGCAACTCCATCACTAAGCAGTGTGGTAATTAAACAGTGTCATGTGATTCTGCCAACTTGCAACATCAGTTCCACCTATTGTTGTTAAGCTCAGTGTCACGTGATCGGGACTTACAACTTCCAGCTGCCTTCCCCATTGGCTTTGCTTGTCTTATGATGGTTCTGAATGTCGCAAATTGGGATCACGTGACTGTCGGACACTGCAAGCATCGTAAATGAGCACCGGTTGCCAGCACCCAAAGGGCTGCACCACCCATGACTTCGAGGACCGGTTGTAAGTCTCCTTTTTCAGTGCCTTCGTAACTTCAAACAGTCACTGAACAAGGGGTAAGCAAGAACTACCTATCCAACTGAAGATCCCAAATGGTCCACAATGGCTATTAAAAATAACAAGTGCTGGGTTAAGCAGAGTTGAACCTTCTTAAACATGGATGGGAGACTACAAGGAAATCCCATATTTCCTTGCTGGGCTTGGAAGTAAAAAATAAAAATCTGAGAAGACAGCAGTGGCAGATCAGTCCCATATTGTTACCAAACAATCATGTCCATAAAATCACAAGGAGTCAATCCTAACGTGAAGGAGACTCTTTAAATCTCCCAACCACCAGAAAAT